CTAATTATAATTCCAGACCCTATCAAATTTCAGCTTCAAGCCCAAGTTATGTGCAATCAAAAATAAAAAGTTACCAAACAGGAAATGTGGCCCGACTGGGATGGGTCGAGGGTGGTAAAGGTGCAAAAAATTTTAACGTCCACAACATTGAAGAGGTTGGGGATAAGCTAGGATTTGTTATTAATGCGAGGTTTGGATTAACGGCGTAAAAGACTATAAAAGAGCGGATTATGTTAAGGGATAAAATCTCACATTGAATAAAGATGAAAATATAGAAAACTTGTTAAGAGTTTGAACTACTCGTTTCAATAAGGTTGACCCTTTAATATGGATCCCTCCAACGAGCAATTCAATCCGATTAAGACTCAAAAATTGAGTACACGAATTTCAAGATTTGTCTGCTCAAATAAGCTACCATCTTGCAGTGGCATGTTAAGGGATAAAATCTCACATCGAATAAAGATGAAAATATAGATCAATTTATAAGAGTTTAAGCTACTCCTCTTAATAAAGTTGACATTTAAAGAGGAGGTCCAAATTTTGATCGGTGGTGGGGCAGCTCACCATTGTATTTCGATTAGCTGGGTTCATGTTTTGGAAAACCTGCAATGGGGTGGGACGGGTTATGGAGTTTTAATTGACAAGATACTACTTGTAGTTGGTTGAGCCAATTAGGACAGCTCCAGGCCTCTCGAAAGCCTTGGAATTGTCATTTACATTCTGTTAAACATCAATGAAGCATTCAATTACAAATTGTTCTCTGCCTTACAAATTCTGCACCAATCTATACATACTACATACATACACCCTTCACTAATACATCAAATTCTACTCACCGCAGCTAACTCAAAGCAAGAAGTCTCAAACAACAGCATCAGTCCTTAACCTTCAACAGCAGATCCACAAATCCAGCACCAAGCACAGCAGTAGGGTAACCTATCAGAAACTAATAAAAGGAAATAAATTAAAATCCTAATCTAAAAGAAATTAGAAATCATGTTCTAATTAATGAAGAAAATAAATCATATACTAAAAAAGAAACAAGAATAAAAAGAAAAAATTAATTACAACTGGACATCTTATTATAAATATCTAACTTTTATCCTATTTACAATAAAATTGTCCTACATCAGTTTCTATGACTCTATCCATAAAAAATACAAGTGCTGTCTGACTCAAAGTAAATTCGGGTCCATAAGGTACTGCGATAGTGAAAAATAGAATAGAAAGAGGAAAAGCTGTGTCCGGTCAAATAAATGAGCATTGTATGGAGTTAAAAGGTGTGAAATAACCAAGAATCCTGTTACATAGTTGTTCTGTGAATAAAATATAGTCTCAACTTCTGCTGTTATACATGGACTTCTTGACCTTTCGTTATTCATCCATAGTATCTCTTTTATTGCTTTGATGGTTGGTATCGTGTAAAATTAGCAACATGTCTTGTCACTGAATACCAAACATTCCACTGAAACAAAGAGCAGTATGCTAACGTTACAAGTTTCACTAGCTAAATGAAACATCTTTTGACATAGATCTTACATATTTCAGTTTTCAGGATCTTCAGTGCTGCTTACTACTGAACTTTGTAGTTACACATGCTACTATCATTTTTTTTTCTGGTCTGGTGTTTTACATATCCATTGTCCACCCCCACCTTGGTTGTAAGTATATTGGAATGACCTAAACTTGACACTTCTCTTTGCAAAAATCATCAAGACCATTTTTTCTTCTTGCACCATTTAATTTGCCTGTTGATTTGAGGGACCAGGGATGAGTTCAATGGTTTGGAAAATGTCTCGTACTTGAGAAAACCATGCTGGCTTCCAATATACTCTGTGATTCATCACAATAATGTGTTCTAATATATTGCTGCATCAGTTCCCTTTTTCTGGCCCTTTTGTATTGCTGAACTGCTAATTCTTGCCCTAAGCTAGAAGTGAATAAAAGAATGAGTAAATATGTAATTTGGTTTCAACTTTAGCTTTATATTTTCTCATACAGGAAAATATAGTGCTGCTGAGAGTACTTTTCTGATGTTTCTACTTTATAGTTGCCTACATTAGTCTTAAAATGTTGGAGAACATGTACATATGGTGAACTTGATTGATGATTATCCCTGGACTATTTTTCAGAAATTACTTGAGGTTCTGGAACTAATGCCCAAAAGACCATCTGATGTTGATCGTTTACTATTCTGAAATGAAGATGATTTTAATCTTAAAGGTAACTCACAGTCAGAACTTCCATGCACCAAAATTCCATGGTTAATTAAGAATGCCTAAATCAAAACAAGGGCAAAGTAATGGCAGAGTAAAATGAGGATGTTGAGGAAAGCATTGTAGGTAATTTAGGTGACTAAGCCCTGTTTGACACTCATTTTGGAGAAGAAACAAATTCTGGAATAATAATTGACGGAAGAATGTGTAGTTAAAAAGTAATGAGAATTTTTGGATTTATGTGTAATATTATTTTATTGATAGAATGTGTGGTTGAAATGAAGAAAGAGAAAAAAATGAGAAAAAGAATAAGAAGAAAATGAGTGTCAAACGGGGGCTAACTTTCACTAGCTTTGACCATAGTAACCTTGACCAGTTTAAATCCCTCACTGACACCAATTGACTCACGATTACATAGATTCAGTGATCAATATACGAGTGCTGATACTTCTCTAATATATTAAGCTCAAGCAATACTACGATGAGAAGAGAAATAAGGTGCAAGAAAAAACAGACCATGTTTTTAGGGACGGACCCAGCAATCTATCCCAACCCGGGCGGACGTTGACCGGTCAACACCGACAATATGCAGCTGTAGCTACAGCTGCCGCTACGTGCCTACGCCGAAACTGCCCGGACCCGGAGACGGGAGATTTCGATCGAGAGTCGACAATCGAGAGACGAGAGAGTGGAGAGTCTAGAGACCGTGAGAATTTGGGAATTTTGTTTAGGGATTGATAATTTGATTTGGGAGTGAGATTTGGGTTGGGCTGGCATACATAATTAAGGATTGGGCCATTAGATATTTAGATTGATATACATAATTAAGGATTGGGCCAAGACAAATGGCCCAATCCAAGTACGAAAAAAAAAAAGATGAATTAAATGGGCCGCATTGACCCGATTTTTTAAAAAACTAATGGGCTGGCCAAATTGGCCAATTTTCAACTTGAAAACAAAAAAAAAGGGCAGCAAATGCAGAAAGATGAAGGAGGAAGAAGACGAACTGATCCATAGAACCAAGTACAGTTCGCAACCGTCGGCGGAGCCCAGCACGGGCGGCCGCCCCCCTGGCCGGGTGCTGGGTCAGTCTCTGTATGTTTTGATTTCATACCATTGTATCTAAATTGGGTTTGAAAGGGCTTGCATTTTGTCCTTTCCAGCTTTCAAAATTCTTTATCTATTTGAGGCACTTTACTCGTTATCTATATAATCCCCGTTTGGCCCCCACTATTCCCCGTTAAATTATAATTCATTTTTCTATCTCTTCTTATCAACCACATATTTTTCAATAAAATAATATTACACGTAAACTCAAAAAAATTTTCGTTTTTTTTAACCACACATTTTTCAAAAAATTACTATTTCTCTCATTATAATGCGAAATAATTGAGGTCAAATGGGCGAATAGTAACACTATTTTTGGTTGATGTATTCACAGCATACATTTACTTTTAATTGTTTATGCAGGTCTACGTTGTTGAGTCTTCATCTAGTAATGGCCTTCATCTTTAAGATTTCTATCCTGACCGTACCTCCCCATGTCATGTGGACTACAAGTAAGAAAATTCTAAGGCATATTTGGCATGTTAAATTGAACCAGGATTAATAAAATAGGCGCGTGAATAAAAATGTCAATTTTCTTGTTTAATTCAACATATCAAATATACCAACAAAGCTCAATTTAGGTTTGAAATATCTTTTTAGGAACGCCATAATAAGTTATCAGGTCAAGCAGAGTAAATGATTTGGATTTATATGTACTTGACGTGTCATTGGCCAATCTAAATTTGTGTTTGTTGTTATATACGCATTTGACTAGCATGGCCTTTGTAATCAAACTATCTGTTGTGCTTCACTGTCCAATTTGTGCTGATGCGTTTATCTTCATATTAAAACTTTATGAAATTTTAATCTTTATAAAAACTAGAAAACCTAATTACTTGTTAATTGTCAAGATTCTCCATGTCAAATCATCAAGGAAATTAATAATGCGAAAACATACGTTAATACTCTGAGAATAATTTCTTATTACTGGATTTTGATTCTGAATCTTAAATCTTGATTATTGGCTCTTTTGGTTCTTGAATTCTTGATCTTAATTTTTGTTTCTTGCTTCATAATCTTGATTCTCTTGTTCTTCAATTTAATTCTCCAATCCTTTTTTTTCTTGATTCTTGATTGTAATCTAGATTCTTGATTGTTGGTTTCTTGATCTTCCTCTTCAATATGTTTTCTCTATTAATTCTTGTATTCGGCCCATCGTCGAATACAAACCCTAATAGATTTGGTCTCTACACATATAATCCAGTCTATACTTTATTTAGATACCCAAATCCCAATTACTTAATTATTTATTAGATCACTTTACTTTAAGATAGTCTTTATAGACAATGAAGGGAAAATTAGGCCAGTTACTGTAAAAAGGGAATAAATTAGATTAATGTACTTTAACCAAATTAAAACCTCTAACAACCGTAAATAATACGTTTCCAACCCCAAAACCGTCCAAAAACCCCAAATGCCCCAAAAAATCCCCAAAACCACGATTCCTGGGAGAACCAAATCTGGTGCAGGGGCTGGATGCAATAGGTGGTGCGGCATGGCGCTGGTGGTACCGTAGGTGGTGGAATTGGTGGGGGTATTGTGGGTGTGGGTGCGGGTGCGAGAGCCGGAGCCGGTGCTTTTATTGCTAGGGCTGGTGTTGGTGGTGGTTGTTGGACGGTGTAGGGGATGCTTGTGGTTGAGGTATAACCAGTGGAAGTGCTGCGGTGAAAGAGAAGGCTAAGGAAAGAGAGGGGTTGGACAGGAATGTGGGCGTGAAATAGGAGGTGAAGTTGTGTTGCAGTACTCAGGTGCTGCTAAAACTACTTTATTGCCTAGAGGAGTTGCAGCAAGTTTAGCAATATCATCAACGAGTACGAGGTCGGAATCTAGATAAACAACATTTTGAATGCATTCTGGGAGCAGATCAGCCAGATAATTGTGGGCATAGTTGAGTGGACAATCCAGTGCAGCACGAATAGAAGTTGAGATCAACCCCGCCACCGGCGAATCATCGAAAGGATAGATGTTGAACTGAAGGTAAGGAAATGACTTTGCGATTGTGAGGTTGAGGTGGGAGGTGTCGGCGGCAACGGAAGACACAAAGTGGAAGAATATATTTTCAGGGCAAGATGAGTGTTGAAGGACTGAAAGAACAGCAGCCATGGATCCCCTGAGGAACAGCCGGTGGAAGTGAAACTGGATTCTAAACCAGGATACCCACAAGCCGTCGGCATTGCGTCTGCTGGAATTTGGAATGTTGTTGTCCGAATTTGGAATTCTGTTTCCCGGGCTTCTTCGTCTTCTTCCAATGCCATTGATTAACATCCATATTTAGCGATTAGTCTTTACTTTTTTTTTCTTTTTTTTCTTTTTTTTTTTTTGTGTCCTCACAATTTCATACATTATCCTTATTCCTGTTGTATTCTTTTTTATGTTTATTTTAGCTGAGTTTATTTTCCGAATTTTTGTATTCCGAATGTCTAGTATTTTATTCTACGAATACTTGTCTTGATGTTTGTATCACAGGTTCATCATATTATTGTTGTAGAGTTTAATTTTCTTTTTGATCTCTGT